TATACAATGCTTCAGCCCCGGGCTGAGAATCTGCAATCCTTTGTGCTGAATATGAAGTGGAGGAAAAGGCTGAGGATATAGGCTGGATACAAATCATTGTGAAGGGCCCTGAATACCATGCTAAGGAGTTTGAATGCTACAATGACACTCTAGACATCATGAAATAAATGGGCAGATATATATTTGAGAAAGCATCTCTCACATTGTTTTTTAAAAATGTGAGAAATGCTGTCTGAAGTGACTGACTACTGGCATGATGGACGTGGAGTACAGATGAACGTGAAGATAGGGTAGACCAGTTAGGAGGTAGTAACATTTGTCCTTATAAGAAATAAGGAAGGCCTAGCCAGCAAAAGAAATGGAGAACAGAAGGTGGCTTTTAAAGAGAGACTTGTTACAGACTGAAAGCTAGGAAAGTCAGAAAGAGGGCGGTTCAAAAAAGAGTAAGCAATAGAGCACACTTGAAGATAAGAGTGCTGGAGAAAGCTATACCCAGACGAACTCCAATACTGGATCATCTCTCTTGCTTTTGTATTTGTCATGGATTCCACAAAAATCAGAATTACTGGGACCAGCAGTTAGCGTAATGGCTATGTCCCTGGACTCCCATGTAGTCGACGGCAGTTTGAGTCCTGGACCCGGTGGCTTAAACTCATGCCAGGCGCATGTGTGTGCATGCCCAAGATCCCGAGAGGAGAAAGGAGATGGAACTATGGCATGGCCATCCCCCCTAAGGGGTGATTTCTCGCTTTCTGTATCTCCATCTCTCTCTGTCTTTCTGGCAAGTACACGTGCCCTATAGCAAAAAAAACTCTCCAAAAAAAAAATATATTAAAAATGGACACATTTTTATATTCTTGTTATAAAAGTGTTATCAAAACTCCAAGAAATTACTATATTCCTCTTGGAAAATAAAAAAAAAGGAAGGTAGGGTTTATGAGCCCCAGCCTATCACTGCCATGCAGAAACTTGTACACCTAGTGTTCTGATTTTTCAATGACAAAAATCCAGATTTTCATCGTGATTTTAGATATTTATCTAACTCATTAAAAGTAATTTTTAAAACATTATACAAGCCCAAATGAAATGTATCTATACAATGCTTCAGCCCCGGGCTGAGAATCTGCAATCCTTTGTGCTGAATATGAAGTGGAGGAAAAGGCTGAGGATATAGGCTGGATACAAATCATTGTGAAGGGCCCTGAATACCATGCTAAGGAGTTTGAATGCTACAATGACACTCTAGACATCATGAAATAAATGGGCAGATATATATTTGAGAAAGCATCTCTCACATTGTTTTTTAAAAATGTGAGAAATGCTGTCTGAAGTGACTGACTACTGGCATGATGGACGTGGAGTACAGATGAACGTGAAGATAGGGTAGACCAGTTAGGAGGTAGTAACATTTGTCCTTATAAGAAATAAGGAAGGCCTAGCCAGCAAAAGAAATGGAGAACAGAAGGTGGCTTTTAAAGAGAGACTTGTTACAGACTGAAAGCTAGGAAAGTCAGAAAGAGGGCGGTTCAAAAAAGAGTAAGCAATAGAGCACACTTGAAGATAAGAGTGCTGGAGAAAGCTATACCCAGACGAACTCCAATACTGGATCATCTCTCTTGCTTTTGTATTTGTCATGGATTCCACAAAAATCAGAATTACTGGGACCAGCAGTTAGCGTAATGGCTATGTCCCTGGACTCCCATGTAGTCGACGGCAGTTTGAGTCCTGGACCCGGTGGCTTAAACTCATGCCAGGCGCATGTGTGTGCATGCCCAAGATCCCGAGAGGAGAAAGGAGATGGAACTATGGCATGGCCATCCCCCCTAAGGGGTGATTTCTCGCTTTCTGTATCTCCATCTCTCTCTGTCTTTCTGGCAAGTACACGTGCCCTATAGCAAAAAAAACTCTCCAAAAAAAAAAAATCAGAATTACTGTATAATTTCTCTTCCAAACCAAATATAGATATAACTATAGCTGACTTTAAAAAAAATCTCAATCTCTAATAACCAAACAGGGATATTTTCTCAACATCTAATAAATGTGGCAAGTTCCCAAGAGCATGAACTCAGCTTGGTTAAGAAAAAGAAAAATCTATCCCAGGGGTAAATGTCGACTTCCATTACAGTACACATCCTTAGGTGGACGCCTAGGAATCTGGCATGATCAATCACAGACACTGACCTTCTGAAACCACTTTTTAAACCGTCAGCCTTCTTCACTTTGCTCTTTTTGTATATTTTCTAGAAAAATGGCCTTAAAGGTACAGACTTTTCTCTTTTCTGTCCAACATCCTAGTGAGGCTGCAGTGGCTGCAGCTGCTCTCTGGGCTTCACGATGCCACCAAGGACAAGAAGAAGAATGCTGGGAGGTTGGCCAAGGAGGATAAAGACCCAGGGAACAAATCTGAGGGCAAAGCCAAAAAAGAAGAAGTGGTTAAAGGTAAAGTTCTGGACCTGCTCAATAACCTGGTCTTGTTTGACAAAGCTACATATGACAAACTGTAAGGACGTTCCCAATTCTAAGCTGTGGACTCCGAGACACTCAAGATTTGTGGTTCCCTGGCCAGGGCAGCACTTCAGGAGCTTCTTAGTAAAGGACTTTCAAACTAGTTTCAAAGCACAGAGTGCAAGTTATTTACAGAAATACCAAGGGTGGAGATGTCCCAGCTGCTGGTAAAGATGCAAGAACAGGCACAACCAACTGTACATTGGAAAAATAAAAATTTATTAAACCAAAAAAAAAGAGGAAAAAAGGTACAAACTTTTCATTAAATAACTGCTTTTCCCTAATATTCTTGATTTTTTTCTAATCAAGATTCACCTCTGTGCTCTAATTGCATAAGTATAGTTTAGTGGAATGCTTTATATTGGTCTGCATTTTCATGCACTTTTTCTGTCGAACCAGGTCTTCACTTCTTTCTTACTAATAATATACAATCTAAGTACTATCTGACAGCACTTGAAACTATTCTCTCCTCACTCTGTCCCAAAAAAGTGAAAATGAAAACTGTCTCCATGAGAATATATATTAAAATAAAATAGAAAACTGCTCCTGTATTTGTGCACAGTCATTAGAATTCAAAGCTCAGATGCTGGCTATTAATGTGAGTTGGCTTAACCATCGGATTTTCTACACGAGTCCTCCCAAAACTGCAGCTCCACGATGAGGACACACAGCAAAGCCTGCAGTACAGTGCCCAGAGACAAGAAACAGGACGACGGCAAGTAGGACTGGAAGGCCACAGGAAAAAGGTGGGTTGGGCTACCATACAAGAATAGGCAAGAGTTACTGACATGAAACAACTAGAGCCTTTGACTTTTTAAAATTCAGTTTCTCCTCTGCAAGATATCATTTTATCTCCTATAGCTGTATAAACTGTACAGTTCTGTACACCAGAATACAAATAGTTCTATTTGGCAAAAAAATAAGTTGATAGACTCATATGGTGTTACTTTCTACCCTAGTGCTACTAAAACCTATGACACAGTAATGAACTAGAGGATTAAAGAAGGGCCAACAATAGGTAAATACTAGTACCTTAAACTTAATTATGCCTAAAGTTATACCATAAACTTAAAGCCATGCTGTAAACTTAGGCTATACCTAAACAATACGTTATCAGAGGACTGAGTGAAATAATCACACAGAAAATGGAAACTCTCTCATAAAGCCTTCAAATCACACTCCTTTTCAATTATTTAGTTACTTTTAATTTGACCAGAGAAAGACAGAGCAAGAGGGAGAGAAAAAGAAGGTGAGAAAGGAAGCCACCAGGTCCGGAACTCAAACCATTGTTGGCCATGTGAGTCCAGCACCCCAAACCACCACGCCACCTACCAGCCCCTCCTTTTCCATATTCTAATTGGGGCAGAGTACTACTCTATTAACCTACTATAATAGTATGTGAAGGACACACTGTTATTTGGAAAATTCAGGGAAATCAGTATGTTATTTGGCAACAATCTACTTCATTTCTTCCAAAGAGAATGTTTATCATTCAACTATAAGCTTCTTGAATAAGGGGACCATGTATTATTCATTTTTTTATCTCCCACAGTGCTCAGAACAGCATCTGGTATGAGTAGGCCCTTAGTAATGGCTACCAAACTGGCAATTAAAATTCTCTAGGAAACAAATTTCCTATTCAAAATCAGGCTCCAGGCATACTGAGGAGTTTTGAAGGTACTGCGATATGAGGAAAGGGGAAGAAGCTTCCCAAAACAGTAGGGACATGTTTTTAGATTAGTACTCCCCAAAAGACTGAGACCTGAGATGAGTCTAAAAGGCAAACAGAACTTGTACACGTGGAGGCTTCCTGTCACAGTGGGGGGGTACTAAGGGAAAAGACCAAGTGGGATAATTTGGAGTTGTCTGATGTGGTAAAGGGCTGTCTCAGAGAAATGGAAGAAGTGAATGCTGGGACAGTTTTTTCATTTTAGCAAGGAAAAGGAGCCAGAGGGCCAGGGCTCAATTGGGATTCACAAAACAATGGCACATTCATAAATCACTGGGCTAATTCACAGCAAACTACCACCACGCTCTGTTATCTCTTCTTACGGAAAGGAGTTCTACTGTCCATAAAGTACTGAATGATTAGAAATCAGAGACTGAGTTTACAAGGACTAGAGTCCTCCTCAGTGAATTCAAAGTTTTCTTTTAAAAGCTAAGGGATACTTTCTTCAAGTAAAATCTTACAAATGATCCCAATATATAAACAGATAAAATCAAAACTGCTCTAATTACAATAGATGGCCTGATATTCTGCCTGAGGCACTTCCACATCATCACTGTAGGTACGAAATTTAAGGACTATTTCCTGGTCTAGTCCAAGCTCCTCCTTTGGCAAAGAAGGTTGAACATCTGCCCAGAAAGGTCTTCCACTTACAATAATGCAGCACCAGAACTAAAATCCAGGCATGCCGCACCCAGACTGAGGGCTTTCCCAATACATTCCAACCTGATTCTAAAAACCAAAGGAGGAAGATATGATTCCTACTTACCATCCTTGTTCAGCCACTGCTTTCTTGTTCTGTACAAAAGGAGCTTGTTGTGGACATATGGTAAAAGGAACTTGACACACCAGCTCTCCACGCCAAGTTTGTTTTCCACAAGTACTATGGGACTCCGGTTATACCTAGCTTCAGGACACGGAATCAGGCCAATTTCATCTCTTAACATGTAAAACACAGAAAAGAAATCAAAGGTAAGAACACTAAGTTTTTCCTGAAAGTTTCCTAATGCCACAGATTATTTTTCTCTTCTTTTTAGTTTTGCTTTAGGGTATGTACATTTGCCAGCGGGGGGGCTGTTGAGAAATCAGCCTCTGGGGAGATTGCCACATCACAATCCCTTCTCCTCTCTTCTCAGGATTTGGGGCACACATGTACATGCGCCAGGCACATTTTCAAGCTGTTGGATCCAGGATTTGAACCATATAGTCAGCCATATAGGATCTGGCTGCCTTAACCCTCATGCCACCTACTGTACCACCACCACCCTCAGAGTATTTTTAAACCCCCACACATGTCTCTTCTTTTTTATAAAAAAGATTTATTTTGTTTATTATTATTTTTAATTTGACCAGAGAGACACAAAGAGTAAAAGGGAACATGAGAGAGCAAATTGCCAGGTCCAGGATTTGAACTGCAGTCAGACATTTGGGAGTCCAACACCTTAACCACCACACACCTGCTGGCTCCTATACTTCCCTTTCTTAGAAATATCATTCATCTCACCTACTGGTTTGATAGAAACAAAAAACAGTTTATTAACATAGATAGGCAAGAGTGTAGGAAAAATACCAGTATGATGTACCCTGTGACTGAAGTAAAAAATTGTTTTGATCTTTAGATGACAATATGAAAATATCAGGTCATCAGAAAAAAAGTCATGATGCACAGAAAAACATAGAAAGAAGACATTATGACTTCTGTGATGACCCATTATCTATCAAAATTTCTTTTCTTTTTCTTTTTTTTTTTTTTTTTTTTGAGAGGTTTTTGCTATAGGGGGTGTGTGCTCGCCAGAAAGACAGAGAGACAGAAAGTGAGAAATCACCCTTCAGGGGGATGGCCACACCACAATCCCTTCTCCTCCATTCTCCTCTTGGGATCTTGGGTATGGATGCCCAGCATGAGTTTAAGCTACCGAGTCCAGGACTCAAACTGTGGTCAACTACATGGGAGTCCAGCGACATAGCCATTACACTAACTGCTGGTCCCTATCTCTCAAAATTTCTAACACACATATACTTTAACCCAGCAATTTCACTGCTCAGGAATTATTCTATTCTACATACATAATTAGGATATTCACTGAGACACTCCAACAAAACTAAAAATAATCTAAATTTGTATCAATTTAAGATTAGTGAGCTAGGGAAGCCAGCAGGTAGCATAGTGGTTAAGGAGCTGGACTCCCACATAGCTGACTATGGTTTGAATCTCAAACCTGGCAGATGGCTTTCTCACTTTCTGTCCCTTTCTGGTAAGCATACATGACCTGTAGCAAATTAAGAAATAATAATAACCATAAATACAATGAAATAATTCCTGAAAAAAAGATCAGTGAAATAAATACTGCCTAGTATGTGACAGAGCTGGTTTTTTTTTTTTTTAAAAAAAGAGATATTCCTACATATACTGATAATACTGATATTGAAAGCTTACCAACATATAGTAAATAGGGACCAGCAGATGGTGTAATTGGCTACGTCGCTGGAATCCCAGGTAGTTGACTGTGGTTCAAATCCCAGACCCGGTGGCTTAAACTCATGCAGGGCAAGCATGCATGCCCAAGATCCTGAGAGGAGAATGGAAGAGAAAGGATTGCAGCATGGCCATCCTCCCGAGGAGTGATTTCTCGCTTTCTGTCTCTCTGGCAAGCACATGAGCCCTATAGCAAAAACCTCTCCAAAAAAAAAAAAAAAAAATGTCAACAGATGTGTTTGTATTTGCTTGCTACTAAATGTATGTGGAGCAGAAACAAATTATCAATAAAAGCATACTGTCAATGAAATTCTGGACTATTTTTTCCCCTACGTTTTTTTTTATTATTTTATTGAACTTTATTTATTTTAATTTATTTTAATTTGACCACAGAGGGAGAGGGAGAGAGAGGGGGGAGGAGAGGGAGAGAGAGCGGGGGAGAGAGAGAGAGAGAGAGAGAGCGAGCAAGAAAGCAAGCTGCCACATTCGGAACTCGAACCGCGATCAGTCATGTGGGAGTCCAGAGTCCCTAACCACCATGCCAACTACTGGCCACAGGTTTTTCAGAATTAAAAAAAAAAAAAAACCCTAATAAATTATGTTAAACACAAATTCATTTCAGAATCTGAACATTTTCATCTGTGGTAGAATCTTTACCTCTCAATTTACCTCAAATGAAGCTGAAAATCTACTTTACAGGCAGAGGGTTTTTTTGAAGAGATTTTTGCTATAGGGCACATGCACTCAGTGGAACACAGAAAGCGAGGAAATCACCCCTCTAGGAGGATGGCCACACTACAATCCCTTCTCCTCTTGGGATCTTGGGCACGCACGCACTCGTGGCTGGCATGAGTTTTAATTAAGCTGCCAGGTCTGGGACTCGAACAGTAGTCGACTACATTGGAGTCCAGCAATACAACCATTACACCAGCAGGTCCCACAGAGTTTTAATAAACAAGGTGGGCATCTGGTTTACATAGTAAATGAACCAGCAAACATAAAAATGTTTTTGCCAAACCTACACACGTACCTTTCAACTACAAAGAAAGTTACAACTCTTGCTTACATAAAGCATCTTATCTCAAATAGAACATCATGTTAAACTACTGAATCATAAGAAACTTTTCAACAAAAAAGAGTAATTGAAATAAAAATTTTAGAGTATCCATATGAATTTTTAAAGGATATCTTTAAAGAATAAAGAACTGCACTTTGGAGTGTGTTTATGTCCCTGAGACTCTTGCAAAATAAGAGGAAATCTGTCCAAATACAATAAGAAAAAACCCTCTTTTTATTTTTTTTTTTTTGAAGAGATTTTTGCTGTAGGGCGCGTGCACTTGCCAGAGACAGACAGAGAGACAGTGAGAAATCATCCCCCAGGGGGGATGGCCACACCGCAATCCCTTCTCCTCCATTCTCCTCTCAGGATCTTGGGCACGCACGCACATGCGCCTGGCTTGAGTTTTAAGCCACCGGGTCCGGGATGCGAACCACGGTTGACTACATGGAAGTCCAGCGGCATAGCCATTATGCTAATTGCTGGTCTCAGAAAAAAAGCTTTTCTATTTGTTAGGCTACCATCACAAATTGGTGGGAGGCTGTGGATCTAAAATGTTAAAATCCTTCCTAAAAACTCTAGACTAGATAGCTCAGAGGTAACCTTCTGACTGATCACTTCATTAGTGACACAGAGATGTATCAATAAACAAGGGTACCTTAAAAGCTACAAGTCACTAACAATTCTTTTAAGCTAATTTAACTCTTAAGCAGATCTTAGTACTCAACTGGTTCAGGTGTTTCCATACTGTACCATGCTGACCCGATTATACATTTTGAGTACTAAGTACTTTGGTTCTGAATGCAAAAATTGATAAAATGGTCTCAGACCTCAAAGAGCTAATAGTTTTTCTAGTCACAAAATAGTTTTGTGTCAGTATCTGTGACATAATGTTGCCACTTTCCACTGAAGTAATATAAATAAAGTTCTATAGGATGAATGCTGAGGAAGCAATAAGGTCAATGTCCAGTGTTTTCATTTTACATTTATGTCTTCTGATAATAACCTGAAATCTAATTCACTATGAGGATAACTAGACATATCTAAGTGACCCTTGACTAGTACATGACTGACTCTCTGGTGTTTTCTCATGTTCAGTTTTATTACATGATGTTCTTAGAAAGTAGAAAGTACATTTAAAAAAAATAAACTAAAAGTAGTAAAAAAAAACTAACTCAATGTAATTATTTCAGTAAACGCTGTTCTCTAAGATCTAATAACAACTTAAAACATTTCAAAAGAACTACAACAGTAAAAAATATAAAAATTATTATAACAAGAATAAAAAAATCTTGATTTTTCTAGTGTGGTCTGTTTGAGGAGAAAGATTTCGTTTTTACTTAAATTCACAATATAAAAACTTGTTGTGTTTGCTAGATATACCAGAAATAAACTGCCCAACTAGTAATTTGGTACCTAAACCACAAACAGAGCCATCTGCACAATTAAAATACACCCTGCTTTGGTTGATTTCTTCCAAGAAATAGTATCAAAAACCAAAAATGCCCTGGAAAGAGTAGATGTTCCACAACTGTTTACTAAAAGCTGATTATCCTTACACTTCAGTGATAACATTTAAATAAAGTTTTCAAAGGTTATTACTTCCTAACCCTCCAAAAGAAGATCATCTCTGATTTTCTTCTAATACAATATACTAAAAATAGCATGAGTCCAAGTCCTAGATAATAATATGTATTTGTATCCTATCACTTTGGCCTCTATAGGCCCCTCAGTTTCCTCATTTGCAAACGGGTCAAAGTGTACTCTATCACTAGTCAGGGAAATGGGCTTGATCTCCAGGTATCATATTCGATGACTGAGAAAACAGGTAGCTATTCTCATGTAAGGGGAATTAAAACCGTTATCGCAGAGAAAGTAAAGCATGAAGCAAGGGGAAAGTGGGAAATCTGACAAAGAGAGAGCAGAGACAGCAGCACTTGATGGGAAGTTCAGGGTCCTAGTTCATCTCCATTCTACCACTGGGTCATATAAAATAAAGGAATAATATCTTTCCCCTGCCTGCGAAGAAAACCAAATAATACAATGTGAAGAATGTAGCAAAGTATAAGGTACAAGGTAAAAAGAAGCATATTACCATTAATTCATTGAAGAGTCTGAGGTCAGGGGGCCAGCAGGTGGCATGGTGGTTGGGGATCTGGACTCCCACATGCCCAACCGTGGTTCGGGTCCTCAACCTGGCAGCTTACTTTTTCACCTTCTTTCTGTCTCTCTCTGGTAGGCACACATGCCCTACAGGAAAATTTAAAGTAATGATAATAAATGAAATTAAATAATTCTTTTTTAAAAAATAATTATTTTAACTTTTTAAAAAAATTTGACCAGAGAGAGGGACAGAGAGAGAAAGTGAGAGGAAATGAAATAATTCTTAACAACAACAAAAAAGAG